ACCTGACAGAGTCAACACCAGCCTGTTTTAAGATTTCCTCTGCCAACAGAATTAATCCAAATCTCTTCACTTTAGCCTCAATCACACTCTTCAGACAAGGGCAAAACACAGCCACATTCTTCACCAAAATATCACAAGAAGGATCTCTAGGCAAAATACTAAAATTATTCTCCTCTGAAATTGCTTGATCCAGGTACTCACAGTTCAGATCACCCTCAAGCGCCACAGCTTTCCATGCTCCTACTAGTATGGCCCATTAAGCAGCACTTAAAGCATTCCACTGCTTTTTTAACCCAAAGTTCCAAAAATATGGTCAAACCTATCAGAGTAAAGCTGACTTCTGGCACCATCTTCTGTCTTAGGGTTTCTAGTGCTGTGAGGAGACATCATGACCACAGCAACTCTTTTTTTTTTTTTTTTTTTTTTTCGTTTTTCGAGACAGGGTTTCTCTGTGTAGCTTTGCACCTTTCCTGGAACTCACTTGGTAGACCAGGCTGGCCTCGAACTCACAGAGATCCGCCTGCCTCTGCCTCCCGAGTGCTGGGATTAAAGGTGTGCGTCACCACCGCCCGGCTACAGCAACTCTTATAAAAGAAAATATTTAATTGGGGCTGGCTTACAGTTTCAAAGGTTTAGTCTATTATCATCATGGCAGGAAGCAGGGCAGCCTGCAGGCAGGCATGGTACTGGAGAGGTAGCTGAGAGTTCTACATGTTGATCTGCAGGCAACAGGAAGTGAACTGTCCCCCACACTGGGTGTAGCATATGAGACCTCAAAGCCCACTCCCACAGTGACACACTTCCTCCAACAAGGCCACACCTACTCCAACAAGGACACACCTCCTAATAATGCCAACTCCCTATAGGCCAAGCATTCAAACACATGAGTTCATTGTGTAAATGAGACCATTTTGTAAAACTGTGGAGGTGAAATCTGAGCTGCAGTGGAGACCCTAGGATGTTGGCAATGCCAAGACCATAGGATATTAGCTGAGAGGAGCTGAAAGCTTGGAGTGGAGTTGGCCCACATGAGAGACTATGTGTACTCTCAAGGCTGCTGACCTGAGTTCCGGCCCTGAACCCATGAAAAAAAAAAAAAATGAATGCAGTAGCACATTTGTAATCCAAGCTCTCCTACTGCAAGATAGAGGCAGCAGAGCTGAAAGTGGGTGGCTATCTTTGGGCTGCAACTGATACTATCATGAGCCTCAGATGCCCAACATGGAGCTACAGGGTTTGGTGTTTCCCTCACTGGCTTTCAGACTCATTCAGTCTGATTGTTCCTTGGTATGCTCCCATCCCTCCCTTTTGGAGGGGGGGTGTTTACTGCATGCCACTATATATTGCAAGCATATAACTCTCTCTCTCTCTCTCTCTCTCTCTCTCTCTCTCTCTCTCTCTCTCTCTTTTGTAGGAGCTCACAGTTAAGAGTTTGCCTTGAGTCTCAGATAAGACTTAAGCTGGAATAAATCTATTTTACATTATTAAACAGTTTTAAGCCTTTAGGGATAAGAGGAGAAAGGTTTATAACTTAAAAGTGATATGTCTAGATGTCAAGCTGACAAGGAGTAGATGTGTGATGGTTAATATTGATGGTTAACTCAACAACATCTAGAGTCACCTAGGAGACAACTTTCTGGACGTGTCTGAAAGAGTTCCTAGGTTAAGTTAACTGAGGTATGAAGACCCACCCTAAGTGTGGGCAGCATGATCTGAGGGCTGGGGGCCCAGACTGAATAAAAAAGGAGAAAGTGAACTCAGCACCAACATGTATCTCTCTCTACTTCCTGACTGGATGCCATGTGACCGACGGCCTCACCCTCCTGCAGCCATGTCTTCTCCACCATGGTGGACTGTACCCTTCGACTGTGAGCCATAATGAATCTTTTGTCCCTTAGGTTGCTTTTACCAGGCACTTTGTTACTGATAGGATGGTTGTAGCATCAACGCTCCCAGGGCTCTGCCCTGGAGCATCCTTGAGCTTCTGACACTTCTGAATCCGTATGCCCTCACCTTGTACAAGGGCTGGTAACAGTCCTGCTTGGGGATGTTCTCATCATTCTGTGCTACCATGTGGCTCCTGGAAGAGCCTAGCACTGAACAGCTACTGAGAAGGCTTCAGAGTCAGGCCGTGATTTCATGCACTCCGGTGAGTACCCGTGCTGTCGTGAATGCTGGGCTGTGTCCTCTTTGCCCTCTCTGGATGGATCACCTAGACTGGTGACCTAAGACTAAGCTCTCCAAACGGTCTTCCAGATGACCTGGATAGGTTGGCCCTGAGGCCCAACTTGAGCTCTGTCCCAGACTAGGAATTGTTGAGATTCAATAGTGCTGCACGGAGCAACGCATGCTTACCATCCTGTTATTATTCTGCTATTCTACAGTGGCCCTGTGAGGACAAACAACATGGATACATTCATTTCCAGATGAGGAAACCAAGATTCAGGTGACGGGACTTGCTTAAGGCTACCTACCCAGGCAGTTAGAACCCTTGACCATCACTGGACCCCTGAGAGGAGCAGGTAGCTCTCAGCCAGAGCTGACAGACTTTCTTGGGAGAGCAATACTATCCCTTGCTGGTTCTGCCTTCGACTTGAGGTGGGGGTGGGGTGGGCTGTGAGTCTCATAAGCTGAACTCCATACCTTGTCCTAAGGGTGGGCTGAGGGCCTGAGATGTGAACAACTTCTTTGAGTCACAAAACATCAAATTCTTATAGAAACAGGCATTCACTGGCACAGCCATTTCACAGAAGATAGATAGTAAAGATCAACTCCGGATCCCAGCTGCCTCCTGGGCTCTCCCAGGGTCACTAGGGAAGGAATGGAAAGCAGATTAGGAAGTGTTCTTCCACCTTTACAGAATCCCCTAGTTGCCCTGCCCTGCATGCCCCCAAATTCTTCCCAACACATCTGAGTCCCCACACTGTCCTCAATGCCCAGACTGTGCAGTGAGCAGAATTTCAACCACATCTCCCCTACCATGGGCACTCTTCTAAGAGGCTCTGGGGCCCCTGGCCTGCACAACAGTCATGTTCAAGTTCACAGGGTATGGAGGGGGTAGGCACTGCCCAGGGAACACGAAGGTGCCAGGAGGCCTGTGGGATGCCTGCTCACATTGCCTGCTCACTCGTGTGTTACAGCAGCACTCCAAGGCTGCAAGGACAGCCTGCCCTTGTCACTCACCCAAACCACAGCTGGGTGGGGGTGGGGCCAGGCCTCTGGACTCCAGGTGCATTTCCTTCCCCTGGGGCCCCCTGAAGTAAGCAGAGGTTCTCCCCCCACACACACCCCTACTGGAGCTTAAGGCCAGGAGAGAAAGCTCAGAAGTGCCCAGAAGGTCAGAACAGCAGAGAGAGGAGCTCCTAGGGACGGGGTGGTCCCTGGAGGCTTGCCAAAGGAAATATAGCCCTGCCCCCTGGCCACATGCTTTCCCACCTCCCAGTACCTCCCCAGGCCCAGCCAGCTTGTGACTAAGAAAAAACAAGCAACTCCACGGATGCAATTAGGAAAATGTTATTTTTCAAGGGCTGCCAGATCCTGGAGATTGAATCTGTGACCTGAGAAGCACGTGAGTGTTGTCACTGGCAGCCATGGCCTGAGACAGCCACTGAGCATCCCCCCCCACCTCCAGAGGGAGGGAGTACCCATACTTACCTGCCTGCTGGTAGTCTGGGGGTGGGGGAAGCCCAGGGAGCCCACACACTCTTCCCAACTTGAGAATGAGAGAGTTCAACCCCTGCCTGAAGCAAATGCTCCCTCCTTCTTCTGCCCTCATGCCAGTCACACAGCCTGTGACCTACTTTGGACAAACACAGGACAAACCCCTTGCCCCCAGTCCTTATTTAGAGAAGCTTCAACAGGCCCAGGAGGCTAGTGCTGAGTATGTGAGTGTGAAGACTGGCTGCCTTCTTGGGCTCTTTGCTCTTGGCCGAGCCAAGCTGGGGCACTGCTCAGTCCGAGAGTCGGGGATTAGGAGTTCCACCTCCTGCATCCTGGGCCGCTGGAAGCCTAGACTGAGACTGGCCTGGGGCTGAAGCTCCCCAAGAAGCTCTGCCATGCCAGGGCACAGGAAGCACAGGACTCTGGTTAGGTCAGGAGCCCAGTGGACTACAGTCCCCCACTTGGGCCAAGGTCCACAGCTCCATCACTTCGTGGGTACCGTGGGTCTGAGTCTGTGCCCTCTTGGTATATGTAAGTTGCTTACTGGGTCCAATGCTGTAAGTTGGGGTTTCTACAGATAGTTAGGGGTTCTTGGCCTTCAGGATAGATGTGTCCAGCCTGTTGCCCCAGGAGGCAGAGAACTGGAGCCTGGGAGACTCTGCCAGCCCCGCTCCAGGTGCTGTGTATGGTGAGTGCAGCTGAATATGGATATGGAGGAAGAGGAAGACGGGAAGGCAAAGGGTCGGAGGACTGCTGGCCGCTGGGGAGGAGACCTTCCTGGTGTACATAGGCTGCCCCACCCCCAAGCTCTACAACATGTCACTACGCCGCCGGACTCCCATGATTGGGTAAGAGTCTGTGGAAGCCCAGAGTCGTGGCTCTCATCTCTTCCAATTTGTTGACCCTAAAGGGTCTCTTCTTAAACTGTCTCTCTGCCTCTTGCCACTCAGTAGTGAGAGAAGCTGAGAGGAGACCTTGAGGGTGGAGACTTCGGGCTCCAGAACCTGAAGAAAGCTGAGCAAATGGTCTTGGAGCTGGACTGTGGAGGCGGGGAGGCTTGCCTGGCCCAGGTCCAGGGAAGAAAAGGGCTCCCATGCCAACCCAAAGAAGACCAGGGACCTTCGTAAAGGCTGTTCTAGAGTTAGCCATGACCACTCCCATCTCCACACATCCTGGGGTGGCAGGAAAAGAGCCTCATACAGGGCCCAGAGGACCCGGAAGGCGCCCCGCCCCTGCCTAGCCCCTCCCTCAGCCCCGCCCCCTGCAGGTGCTTGCCCCGCCCCCGGGGGGGTCGCAGAGGTCCAGAAGCTGCTGGCCGGGGGTCTGCGCAGAGTCCAGCGAGGGCGCGGGCGGTGAGGGGGCGCTGCCGTGTGCAGCAGGCGGCCCTGCGCGGAGAAAGTCGGCCGCGGGGACGTGCTCCGGCCGCCAGTCTCAACAATGAACGACCGGGACACGGAGGTGCTGCCCTTGCCGCCGCGGTACCGATTCCGTGACCTGCTTCTGGGCGACCAGCCTTTCCCGAACGATGATAGGTAAGTGACGGAGCTGTCCGAGGTGCTGAGCCCCGTATGCACCCCCACCCACCCACCCCCACAGCCGCATCGCCCTTCAACTTTCCGGGCTTCAGGCTTCCCTGGCGAGAAGTTTTGGATGGGTTGGGATTGGGGTGCATCTCCCTGAAGGGGTTTGGAGCCGGACTCGGACCCCGGTGCTAGCAGGCTCTGAGACTGAGCTGCTCGGAGTTGGGGGCGGGGGGGAGGAAGTAGGGAGCTAGCTCTGTCTCCCGGGGAGCACTCTCTCTTAGCCCCAAACCCAGCGCACCATTGATTTGGGGACCAGCCAGAACTCAACGCAATAGGGCCACGGAGCCCCGCAGCCCCGAGCAGGAAGTCATCAGGGGTCAGCGTCCTTCAGGCTCATTTTCAGCGTGGTCACATTTTCAGAGTGAAGGTGTTATGACGTTCCCTTGCCTCAAATTCTCCTCTGTGCTTTAAGCAGGGATCAACAAAATGAGCCCATGGGAATAACTCATAAGTGGAGAGGCTCAGCAAGAAGCTGGAAAGAAAGATCTCTTTCTGCCTTTTCCCCAAATAACTGTCTTGGGTAAACATTACTGTTCTCGCTGTCAGCCTCAGGGGAGGCGCTTTCACACCAGCAAGGAAAGATGGTGAAGGACTCTGGCAGACTGTGAAGGCTGGTTGGAGAGGAGAAGGCTTATGATCAGGAACCTCCACTTCTCTGCGTCACCTTCCCAAGGCTAGGTCCCCCCCAACCCTGGACTGGGATGCAGTTCTCCCCAAACAATGCAATTACTTGAGTTAGAACAGAAAGCACACGAGCCTGCAAATTGTCAGGACACACACTGGGCACTTAAGAAACCAACTGCTGGAATCACACTGGAAAAGAAATCATTTCTGTGAGTAGGTCAGTGTGTGGGGACTATGTGTACAGAGCTGGAGTGCTTGCGAAGAATTATCTTGACAGTCAGTTGCTTTGCCTGCTGGAAACTATATCCTACCAGATCTCCCTTGGTGTTGAGAACCATCAATCACACAGAGCAGGGCGAAGGGGCGTGTGTGTGTGTGTGTGTGTGTGTGTGTGTGTGTGTGTGTGTGTGTGTGTGTGTGTGCCAAGTCTTCACTGATTAGAACCAAGGAGGGAGTCTGGGTACTGTGAAGGTGTGTTTATTCATTTGTCTTTTGCTATATAATCGGGACTTGCTTTGATTCACTATCCTCCTGCCTCAGCTCCTCAAGTGCAGTTGTGTGCCACTGCTGGTGTAGAGGTGCTTTTAAATTTTGTGCTTTCTTGTCTTTTGAGTCAAGGGCTGCTGTAACAGACAAACCTGTCCAAGAAGGATGACCTGGCGGTGGTCTAGTTAGCAATGTCTTCCCAGACATGGAGAGATGGTAGTCTTGGCCCTGCCATCTGTAGGTGGGGATTCTTTTGTCCTCCTGGGACCCTCACAGGGCAGGGCTGGGCCTTCGGTGGGTCCAATTTCCTGTGCCTGACATCCTAAGTCAGTGCCCCCTTCTTCCTGGGTGCCCGCTCCACTGGGATTTAATGAATTCCAGGAAATAGCAGCTGCAGAAGATTCTCCCAGTGCTGGGTAAGAAACAGCATCCTTCTCCCTGAAGTGCCTGGTGCCTGACTAGACAGATGCCAGTGACTGTGGTTGATGTAACTGAAAGACTATGCCTCCCTTTCTAGCCATGGATAGTGAAGGTTTCTGTTGTCAGCCATACGGTGGCAGTCACAGTCTGCCTGGCAACAATTGTCTTCTGCCCCGGTGGGGTAAAAAACTGCTATCAGGTCCATGACACTTTGTTCAGTACTTTTGATTGTGAAATATATGAAACATAAATTTTAAAACAGTAAAACTGAAAATAACCAGAGCTGGCACAGCCCTCAACTCTGAGAAACCCAGAGCATCATCCTGAAAGATCTCCCTCCCCTTCCAAGTCACCCCCTTATCTCTAACCCTCTCCCCCATCTCTCTCAGGGGCTGCTTTCATATCAGCTGCAGAGAGTGAGTGGCTCCGGCCCCTCTCAGTCCCCAGGTCCTCATCACAGGCAGGTGATACAGAAAACTGTGGGCTGAGATCTGTCCTGGAACACCTGAGCCCTGTTGTACATAGACCCAGCTCTGAGCAGACTTCAACCTAAGGGCAGGGAGGACAGGTGTTGGATGGTCCCTCCTGCTGCTTGGGACCTGGCCTGATGGCCCTGCCGTCACTCCCACTTGAGGAGCCTTGTCCCTTTCCTCCTCATCGCCCATGCGCTTTCCCTTCTTCCTTCTGCACCATCACTGGTTCTCAAAGTGAAGGGTGGGACTGGGGGCACTTCCCAAGTATGATGATGAACCAGGCAGCTGTGCCATGTGTCTAGGCGTGCTTAGTCTGGGATAGAAAGGAAGGACAGGCTCCATCTGTCCCACCCACTCTTAGGAGTTCTATGGAGTAGCAGGTTGGGGTCCTGGGATGGGGTCTTAGGATGCCAGTGATGGGCTCTTGTGACCGGATAGTGCAGCACAGAACCTCCAGGGCCCAGGGCAGTGGTCTCAGTGAGGGGGGATCTGGGGTAAGTGTGAGCTGCTCCAGCAAAGCATGGGTGCAGACTAGAGGTTTAGCCTCACCCCACTCTCCCCACCCCCAGTTTTGCCCTATAGCTAGCTCTGCAGGGCCAAAGTGGGGCGAGCTGCACCCCAACTCTTGGCAGGCTGTAAGCTGGCAGGAAGGGCCGTGTGGGTTTTCTGTTCTCCAGAGAAATAAAGCCACTGGTGGTGAGTCACCACAGCCTCAGAGGCCTTGACAGGGAGGTGCTCAGCCACCCACGTGGACAAATGAGGCTGCACTGCCAGCCTGGCCACTCTTGAGGATACTGCGTACTGCACACAGCCCATGAGGGGCAGAGTTGAGATCTCACCCACATTAGGAGCCCATGTAGCCCTGGGTAAACTCTCACCTTTTGGGCTGAGTCTGAGTCCTGGGGTCTTCTGGGAAGCAGCAGTCAGAGGGAGCTCAGTGGATCCTGTCACATCCAAGGTTCTAGGTTCCCTGCCCCTTATGGCATCTTACTGTTCCAGCTCCAGGGTCTGGGGCATCTTAACAAGGTTGGGTGCCCTCTCTACATGGAACCACCCTTCCAGGTCTGGGGGACACAGACTCGGATCCTCTCTCTGAATGAGTGAAGACCCCTGGGAGGATGTCACGAAAGGCCTTGGGCTGCGGTGTTGTAGGCGTGTCTTAATTTCAGAGTCTTGTCCTTGGCCTGTAAGAGGAAACCCGGGTTTCTGCACCACCACTGGGGCTTTGTCTGCAAGATGTACAGGCCAATACCCGGCTGCTCAGAATAGCCAACCACGGGGACATGGGACCTAGCAGGTGACCACTGGCTGGGCTCCAGGCAGGTGGGAGCAGGTTTGACCCTGGATTAGCCTCCTCAGTTCAAGCCTTGGAGGGGGGAGGACTCTTCAGGAGTCCAAGGTGCTGCTGCAGATGGCAAGCCAGAGCAGGCATCATTTGTGCTGTCCCTAGCTCTCAGGCAGTGGAGTGGACCTTGGCTCATTTCTCTGAGGCAACAACATTGAGTATTTTATGACATAACCAGAAAAATGGGGAGACAGGCATTGCCCTTATTACCAGGGCAGAGGGGCACCCCCAATTGAGGACAGAGGCATGGGGGTACAGAGACTATGGTGCCCCCTTTCCCAGCCTGCCAGGAACTGAAGAGGGTCAATTGCTCTTTGGGAATTGGGCTGGATCCTTCTCAGGAGATGCAGGCCCTCCACCCAGGTCTCCAAGCAGAGAGATACAGGAAGGGTGCCTCCAGGGACATTCTTGCACTCAGAACCTCTCACTGCAATTGTTAATGAGGGTAGAGTTGGGCTGGGCAGTGCTGCTGATGGAGTGGAGCTGAGCTGGGTGTGGAGAACTCCACCAGGATCATCAGGACTGTCTCACAAGTGCCTCGGATAGCTGGGTGCCCACTAAGTGCCCTCCCCATCCACTCTTGAGTGTGCTTGCCCTCGGGGCCAGAGCCTGGCTCCACATCCCAACCACCGGCACACCTTCCCACACCCTGTCCTCATCGTACTTCCGCTCCTTCTACTGTGTATCACCACTCTGGAACAGAACCCCAGGCTCTGCCTCTGCTGGGCAGTCCTACATGCACCCCACTCTCCGGACATCCCTTCCAGGACAAGTAGCCCACTATCTGCATCTTGAGCCAGCATCAGGTGCCCGGGGGCACTGGGACCAGAGTTTGTGCATGAAGCCCTCAAGGGAAGCTCTGGGGTGGGAGGAGGGACTAGGAGCACCACTGGTCCTCCTTTGGGGTTCCTTGTGGCTCCCAGGTTAACCCACAGAAGAGGAACAGGCATCAGGTATCTGAAAGGGGAAGGGAGCTGGCAGGATGGAGGGTGTGGCTGGCTTGAGCCAAAGTAATGGTGGGTGGAATACGGAGGTCATGCCTGGCCAAGAGTCCAGGAGGACAGAAAGGGTTCAAGAAGGATCCACTGGTGATGAGGACTGAGGCAACAGTCCTCATCAGGACAGGAAGGGCTGGAGCATGGGATCTGAGACTGTATCCTTCTGGGCTGGGAACCCCCTGAAAGGCCACCATGCTCTGGACTTGAGCTACCTAGTCAGCTGGAGCCTCACAGCTGTTGAGAGCAGGCTTCAAGGGAACTGATGGGGCAGGAGATGGGAGCTGTCACAGCAGAGGACAGAACAGGGGATGACGGTAGCCCTGCCAGGTGGGATCAGATTGCAGGGACAGAGTGGCCCTGGAGCAAGCTGAGTGCTTCAACTGGCTGGCACTGGTTTCTACCCTTTGTTCCTGCCCAAGGCTTCTGAGCCCAGGGAATCACCAGGTGGGGCTGCCTCCCATGGGGACTTACATTTAAAATGCCATCTGGGTGCTTCCCAGGCTCTGCACAGGCTTGACTGATGAGCAGGGCAGGCCTAGTCCTGCTGCCCTGACTTTTTCTGCACCCTCCTCCGGGCTGGGGTGCTCAGGTGAGGTGAGTGGG